AAAAACAAGGAGGGAAGAGGCCAAGGATGCCCACTTACTTTTTTCTCTCCTTGTCCCTTTTCAGTGTCTGTGAACCTCCTGCCTGCTGAGTCTGAGACTGAAGCAGTTCAGCAGCTGTCTTCCTCTGCTTAAACGCGTTGACTTCATCGTCCAGGGATTTCTTCTTATCTTCCAGCTTCTTCTTCTCATCCTGATGCAGCTTCTTCAGACGATCAAATTTCTCATGGAGCTGGAATAAGGGCACAAAGGCATACAAGTAGATCCAATTCTCAAGGGGAGATCCTTGGCAGAATCAGTGACATCTAGAGTTCATCCAGGAGCCAAGAGGTTCCTCAGAAACTTACGAGGGGCCTGGAATAAAGTGACCTGAAATACAGACAGTCCCAAAACCCTTTAGGAAGAGAATTATGGGGTTCAGCCATCCCATGACTAACTTGCTTTGGGAAGAGATTGCACACGAGGGACAGAACCTTGAACAAAAAATGTGCAGCTTGGGGTGGAGCAGATCTGATGTTTGAATAGCCTGCTGACCAAAGTAGCTGAGACAGAGATACAGAAGTGATAACATCAAAGCTCAAGAGAAAACTTTGATTTAATTTAAATACTTCTCTGTGATAGCACAACTTGCCTTAAATCTCTCACAATTATGTGGCATTCTGGGAAACCTCTCTCTGGCTGCCATTATATTCACAGATATTCTCTCTTTGCTTTGCATAGAAAAAAAAGAGTCCACAAGAAAATAAGGATTGAAGACACTACTCATTTAAAGCGGGGAACAAACCTCTGGGTGGTAAGACCTGAGATGTTGCTTTGGGGAGGATCCCACAAAACACTTAACGCAGGTGATGGTGTGAGATGTGCAGCTTGATTAAACGAAAGCTATCTTGTTGCAAAGAAAATAATGCGTTTAAAATCAGAAACCTCGCTCAGATCTAAACCGTTAGTCACCTCGGTCATGACTGATGCAGGACCAGTTCAGCCTCTCTGCAGACCCTCGTCCATTCAAGAGTCGCTTCAAAATGAGATGGGCAGCAAATACATTTAATCAGTCAATCAATTCACCTCTTTTTCAGCCTCTTTCAGCTCCGCTTCCTTTTCTTTCACCCTCTGGACAAACATCTGTCTCATTTCCTCTTCTTTCTTCTGAAGTTCTCCGAGAAATTCATTCCTTTTGGCCTCGTAGGTTTCTTGTAAACTACAGCAAGAAGGTGGGAGGGGCAACATTTGAAAAAGAGGAAAAAAACCCAGCCCAATCAGTTTGAATCAGCTTGCAGCTCACGTAATCAAAAACCTATTCATCCTCTTGGTTTATTTTGGGAAAGCCCCCTCCTTCCACAGGTGCCCCTGATCTGGTCTAAACAATACCTGAATGGCTTGCTATCTGGATCGGAATCCTTAAATCCCATTTCTTCCAGTTTACATCGCCGATACAATTCATAATGGCGCGTGTGGGTTTGTTCGCGAAGATCTTCCATGTTTACCCGGATCAACATCTCTCTGAGTTTTACAAAGTCACAGTGGGCTTCGTTTTCCACTGCATGGAGTAGATAAAAAGAGGGTGGCAGATCAGTGACTGGCTGGGGAATTCTGGGAGTTGAAGTCCATCTATCTTCAAGCTGCCAAGGTTGAGAAACACAATGACCCAATAACAGAATAACAGAGTTGAAAGGGACCTTGGAGATCTTCTAGTCTAATGCCCTGCTTAGGCAGGAAACCCTATGTCTTTTCAGACAAATGTTGTGCAATCTCTTCTTAAAAACCTCCAGTGTTGGAGCACCCACAACTTCTGGAGGCAGGTTGTTCGACTGATTAATTGTCTCTCCCTGATCAGTTCCCATCCGTTGCTAATTGTTCTTTCCATCCAATGTTTCTTATTTAATAGAAACATGAGTCTAAAATTTATTACACAGGTGGGACGTTTTATGGAACCTTCTATTGTATATGAACCTATCTTGTTCAAGACCAGCTGCACATGGTCAAGCTAACACAACAAACATTTTGTCAAGATGCCACCAAGGTCTCTTGAACTAGCCACCTTACTTACCCTGCACAATCCCCCATGGATATTGACGTGCCTTCATCATTTTATTTCCTATCTTGACTTCTTCTGTGCTACCAATGATGGCAAAGGGTAAATGAGCCTGGAGCACCCCAAGAAAAACAGAGAATGCATCTTTAATATTAGATGACGTGTCAAGCATTTCCAGCAGGAGTCACAATATTATTAAATGGGGGTGGATTTTATGGTTTATCCCAATTGCAAGAGACTACAGTAAGGTAATGCTTTACATACATGGTAAATCTGTAAATCGTACCTCTCTACTTGCATTTTATTTATTAATTTTTATTCATTCAATTTTTATAGTCGCCCAATTTCTATAGTCGCCCAACTGGCTTACAGTTCTAAAATTATAAAACTATTAAAACAAAAACAATAAAACAGTAAAAACATACAGTAAACTTTAGTAGAGTTGTTGGTATTTTTATTCCTCCCGCCCCTCTATTCATGTTATATCTATGTTCACTTAGTTATCTGATAATGTTTGCTAATTATAATTCAGTTCAAAACAAACTAAAATCAAAATCAATATTCTTTCAACACCATGGATGAAGGGAGGAACAATACAGAGGACAAGGCAGTCCTGCCTGAATCTTTTTTCCAAGTGCAACATTTAATCCAGGAGCTATTATGGTTACTGCAGTATTATCTTACATTCATGGTTCCATTTATTTCTGACACAGATTCATCGTCAGTAGGGAACTGATAGATTTGCACCCCGTTGCTCACAAGTTCACTGGTGATCTTAATTTTGAATTTGGTCAGCTCGCTCTTGGAGATGGCATCGGATTTGGCAATAATAGGAATGATATTCACCTGCAGGAAATCCCAAAGGAGAAAAGAAGCATTCTGAACATTTAAATAACCTCAAGTTGGACTGCATGAAAATCCCCAGAGCCATTTTGGCAAAATGTCAGGAGAGTGGAAGAAGGGATTCTCCTTTATATTTTCCTGGACTTTAAGATAGATAGATAGATAGATAGATAGATAGATAGATAGATAGATAGATAGATAGATAGATAGATTAGATAGATAGATAGATAGATAGATAGATAGATAGATAGATAGATAGATAGATAGATAGATAGA